AATTATGTCACATTTAAATGCAATCAAATATCTATAAAACATTAAGTATAAAAAACTGCTAATATTATGTAGTATACCTATCGCATATCTACTAAGTGTTCGTCTGCTGATCCATTATGCGCACATCGTAACGTATAAATAAAGGCAAAAACTCACAAGATCCATTAAAAGTATTGCTGTGGCGTGTACGAATATCGTGGATACACCCTATTTTCTCGCAAAGGGATATTGTACTATATTTAGGATTTAAATGGATAGGCATACATACTATACCTATCTATTTAATGTAAAAATATAGATACCTCTTATACTTTTTTCCAGACCTAAATATTAATAAAAAGCGAACACTAAATATAATATATCAAGAATTTATAATATAGTATAACGCATACCCTGAAAAAAAAAGATCTGGTAGGTCGCTAGCTCGTACTATTGGAAGGTGATTTGATCAGTCATTAAAAATCGTGATATTTAAAGAAAAAAAGTAATGTCAAAGAAGCGAAACACATTCATAATCACAGGACTTTCTCCGCAAGGGATCCGGGCGTAGCGTTAGTTACTTTTTTTAACCGTAAACTCGCAATTACGCGTCATGACCGTGGATTAGGGTTCTTTCCAACTGCGAGACTATCCGAAGCTGATCAAAAGTGGAAGCCCACTCTCATCAAAACCCTTCGTTGTAGTGTACGACTCGCATAATCTTAGCCCCGATAACTAGCCAAAAAGTCCCGCAGACTTATGTTACTTTACTATCGATAAAATATGTCACAATATTTAAATAGTCTATTTTGAACTGATTATTACATAGTGAAATTGAATAGCCGAAAGACAATACGACTACGACTACAATGATTGTAATTGTAACAAAAAATACTAATATAAAAGCTCAAATACATGAAAACCAGGAAAAAGAAACTCGAAAATTTATTTGCTTTTCATTCATATCAGTTTTTTTAATTGGGTGTAGAAGTTCAGAGCGTATCCTCTCTATTATATCTATGTCAAGCACTTCCGCAAGAGAGTGGGCGCTATAAAGGAAACCGAGTGAGCCGAGCCGCACAGCCTTGATTTGGCCCATACACCGTGCCGCCAGCCAGTCAGCTACAAACAACCTAATGCTCTGGAATACGTAACGCTACCACCATTTAATAGCCGTAAAAATACATTTTGGAACTGACTGTATGAAAGCATACACGGTAAAGAATCCGTGTTTAATTTTCGGAATAGTATACGCTGCTTTCTTGTTTGATTGTTTTACTCCTTTGTTTCAATCGACCACATCCTCAGATATTACCATATGATTTTGGATCGTATACCTACTATGAACAAATAAACAGTTAAAGAAACATGTTTTCTTTATTTAAACCGATTGTCACTATATCGTCGGTTATGAGGCTATTGATCTAAGCGTTATTTTTGGCGGTATTAAGTTATATAGTAAATATGTTGAGTCTAAATATGTGTATAAGCACAGACACATAAGCGCTAAAATTCAAGGGGCTAAAATGACCCATTATTACGAAGTAGCTTTAGCATGCTCGAGTTTTAGCGACGAATATATACCTATACCGTATTATAATAGGTTTTAAGCGCCATGTCACTCTATTTTTTACTTCGATTGCTATAAACTTGACTATATACTCATCGCAAGATGCAAATCGACCAATGTCGCATCGATCACCGATTTAGATTGCACGCGTACCAATGCATTTCGACCGATATATTTAAGATCCGTATATAATATATATATAAAATATCCTTATATACAAATAAATTGAATTGAATTGGAGGCATTTTCCGAAATCATTAATTATGTTAGCGGTTTCGCGTGCAGAATGTCGCTCAAATAAGTAAAGTTTTTGACAATAAAACCTCCGTACAAGATACTTCATTCAAAAAGCCTTAATAATGTTCACAATTTATAGCCGAACGGCCGACCGATTTAGCATTATTTAAAGTGAAACTTTGTAGTAAACATGTTTAAAGTTATCGTTATTTAAAAAAGTTGTGATTACATCGACAATTTTTTTTTCTTTATAGTCTGTAAAAATACCAATATACTGTGTTTTATTGTTAATTAAAACGCTGATATTATAGTACCAGAATTACCCATATGCAATTCCATAAAATTGGAAAGAACGAGTTCAGAAATGTCCCCATATCTTTTATACCGAATTTTATTAGCTGTAAACATTTTCAATGTGTATGTATTTTTAATAGGACGATTGGTCTCATTTTCAAATTGCCTGCACTCGAACAAATTAAAAAGTGAACATCATATTACCGAAGTGGTCATTAGCCGCACTCGAAGAATAATTCTATGAACGATATTACCAGAGCATACATTTGTATATACGCGTCGAAATTAAAATGAAATGAACTTTTTTCTATTACAACAGATAGAAATTGTATTAATAGGAAGTGGTATAAATACTTATGGCAGTTTAAAATAAAAAGTTAAAATAAATATAAGGGAGCCCCCATGTAACAAACGTGATATTTTTACTTGTTTTCGGCACAGAACCCTACGTGCGCTAGTCCGTCTCGCACTTGGTCGGTTTTTATTTACATTTCTGTCTCCTGTAAAAACTTATACATCTTCTAAATATCTATTATAAAATAAAGCGGTTTTTATGTTTAAAAATTATAAAAAGAGTAATATCCATTTATAGACACTTTTATTTAGATTGAAGAATGGAATATAGTAATTTTAAACTAAATTCATTCATTATGATCTCATCGTATCAAGTGACTACATTCGATTAGAGAATACTTATATTGAACTATTTTCTATTGAAGTCAAAATATTATTGCTTTAAAATTTAGGGACCAATGTCCCCAAAAGTAACGCAATTAACTGTTAGGCGCAAATGTCAAATCAATAATAAAATGTTCAACTCGCTTTTTAAATTGAAATTTAATTATTTCTGTTCTACTATATCCGATCGATATTTTGTTTCTTCTACTAATTTTGGATATATATAAAATTGTTAATGGTTTAAAGAAATAATTGAATCTTTTATTTATTTAAATAAAGTACCATACCAGTGTTTATTTACTACCATACCCAATATATTTTTTGTTTGTAAAAATGATGCGATGTCAATCTATTATCCGAAGTATTCGCTATAAGTTAAATCTAAGAGGTCGTAAAAAATGTGTTAGAGTTTTTCAAAGCTTGATATTTCAGTATGTCGAAGTACTAAGTATATAGGTACATAAATCATTACCCAGTGCGGGGAGTCCGATGCTGGAACAGGTGGCAGCGGCGCGAAACCATATTCTAGGGATTGCTAAATATATTACATTAAATGCAAGTCCAAGTATTTGTTTACGAACTGACCACTAATGATTTAATAATAAATTAAATTTCTCCCATAGCGAAACTCATTTTCAGAGCTCATTTTTACATCAATTTCTATTGGTGGCGTAGGATATTGTATTAAAAAAAGCCTCAAACGACAAACCTTTGCTTACCATCTTCTTTAATTTACAAAAACAATAAAAAGCTGTCATTAAAATATTTATCTTAAGAGCGGTTCACATATTCGACGACGACAACGATACAGGACGAATATGATGTGCCAGATAGTTGGGAAATAAAACCAAAAAAGACAAAAAAATACTATAGCAACTTCATGACTTAAAACATTTTAAACTAATATTATAATTATATAAAAGTGAAATAAAGTATTACTTAATATGCTATCCATCTAAATTGATACCAACGATTATGAATCATAATTACCGCTAAGCATTTTTATTCATTGTGTGCGATGGCTAAATAATTTCATTAGAGAGCAGCCCTCTGGCTGGCAGAATTAATTTAAATAATGTCCCTTCGTAATTAGCAAATTAAGGGGATGAATGATTAATTAAAAACGAGGCCCCAGAAGGCCGTTTCTATGGATATAAGTAATGAGAAGTGAAGTAAATATTGTTTCCTTTTTAGTGCTACTAAATTTGTATTTAATTTTGTTCGATGTAGAAAGTAAAAAAAAAACATAAATAACAATAATCAAGACGACGCTATTTCGATTCGTATTGATAAAAATAAAATACAATGCATTTAAAACCTAAGTTTAAAACCATAAACATTAAGTAAAAGTTATATAAAAGAGTTTACCTAATATTAATTTTAAAAGACGTATTGTACTACAATGATGATTTTGGTACCCCCTGATACTGGCGCTCAAGGCAGGTGACCTCACTTATTCCCTCTTCTCCCTCTAGATCCAGCCCTGGAAAAATATATTGGGATAGTAATTTAACTATAATGTTGAGAAAAAAGAAAAGACAATATCGATTGTTCCATATTTTTAAGAGACGCCACGTAAACGCATAAATGCTCGATCAGTTTTCTTGTCATCCTCTATCCCAATCTATGTTGTTGCGCCTGGAAATTAGAAAGTTAGGGGCGAATGTATTAGTGATATTAAAAAAATGTGTTTTTATCAATAATTCGCAAAATATTATTGTAAAAATGTATAAACCCACGTACGAGGCTACAAAGTGACTCAAATATTTATCATTTTTCCTTATACATAAAAAAGGATATAATATAACAAGAAATATAAAAACTAGCCAAGTGCGAATCGGACTCACGCACGAATGATTCCGTAACATTATCCATTAAAATAGACACTATGTTATTTTTCTACGAAGTTATTCTAAATATTCGAGTTAAATACAATTGGTCGACTATTACTCGTAAACTTGTAAAGCCAACTTAAGTGCGATAGTTTTCCTTCATAACTTCTATATATATATAACAACTACAGCCGTAATATTTGATTTTTTACCAACGAGTGTTTAGTTTGTGGACTCTTACGAAAATTAGCTTAATAATAGAAAAACGATTTTCTAAATTGAAAAACAATCTTCTCACCAGGGACCGGAACCACTTACCCTTAAGTGGGTTTTCGATTGGGTTTTTAATAGGCTTGTTTTCAAAAACCCCATTCGTTAGGTAACCTTATTATAGGTCTAACCCCGACAAAATGCTAAGACTAACAACAGTTACATCAGGTAAGCGCTTACCAATACTAAAAACCCTTAATAGGCTTACCCTATCAAGTGTTTAAGAATGATGCCATGCCTATTTTAATTTCTATGTGCAGCGCATAAGACTTATTATTGCGCATCCTATCAAGACGATAGTCTTTTGACTTCGACAGTTCAGCAAGTTGTAACCTGTCGGCGCCGGCACGCGCGAATGTTAGTTTACGTGCTTTATTACTTGTCACTTTCTTTGGAATCCGCAGTCTGCACACCGGACAGTCACGTTTACGTATGTGAATTATTGTAATAAAATTAATAATAAAGTGAATTGCCGTGTGAAGAATGGCTCCGACTAGACGCAGTTCATCGTTACTTTCAGTACGATATAGAATCAAATACGAGCACTTGTGAATTATGCAAAAATAAAATAAAGGTGAGTTACTTTTATTATTATAATTATAATCATTATCATCATCATATGGCCAAAGTATTTGTGGTGGGGCAAGAAAAGTGTTGTTTTAAAATAGCTTAGTGTTTTAACTAAAGAAATAGAAAAATAAGTTTGTATGTAACTCGGTCACACATTTTATATTTTGTATGAATGTTGAATATATAACTAACAAAATTGGTGGAAGGGTTTGTTTACCAAATTACAGAGATAAGAACATTTAGACGTAAAATTAAATTGATATTTATATGAATGTAAAATGTGTCAAATTATAAAAAGTCGTTAAACAAATGTTGTTGTTTATGATGTTAGTTACCTAGTCCTGCAAGGTTGTTGATGCATTAAAATTTACTCTGTTCTATATTATGATAAATGTTGGAAGTACTTATTATTATTCTCACTGTTTTGTTTAATTTTATGTTCTATTGAAATTCTTGATAACATGAAGAGTTTTTAATTCTATTTCAGGGGAAACATACAACAAATTTAAAAAATCATATTGCCACCAAACATTCTAATGAGTATCAAGTTGTTGAAGATTTAAATACCAAAATCATAAGCAAAAATAAGTCTAGTTCCTCTGATAAAATCGCAATAGCTAGAATTGATCAACTGAAAAAACTCTGTGTCCGACTTGTAACAATTCATGGAAGACCATTGGCCATAATAGAAGATGAGGCCTTTCAAGAAATCATTAATTTTGCCGCTACAAGCGACGTTACAAGTAAAACAATTAACATTAAAGCAATAAAAACAAAAATACAAGAAGAAGCTAATGCTATTAGAAAATGCATATCGAGCGAAGTACAAAACAAAATGATAAGTTTAAAATTGGATTCCGCAACTTGCCTTGAACGCAAATTTATCGGCGTGAACGTGCAATATATTATAAATGGAAGAATTGTTGTAAGGAATCTAGGAGTTTTGGAAGTGTGCGATAGACAAACTTCGACTTTCTTAAAAAATACGATTGAAGAATTATTGACAGATTTTAGAATTGGGGTAGATCAAATATATTGTATTTGTACTGATAACGGTAGTAATATGGTAAAGATGGTAAAATTGATGGGAGGAGCATACATTTCTCAATATGATAACTGCACAACTGAACAAGAAGAATTTGAATTAATGGACGAAAATGAAGAAAGCGAAGAACAAAGCACAGAAGAGGAGCAGGTTAATGATATTTTCCACTCTGTCGATGTTGATGTTCATAATTTGATTAATAATGAAGGGACATTCAAAGTGCGAGTGATGTTATGTGCGGCACATACACTACAATTGGCTGTTAAAGATGCGATTAACGCTGACGTTAGTATACAATCAACGATAGCAATGGTAAAAAATGTGGTTAATATATTCCGCAAGCCGAATAATTTGAACCGTTTAAGGCATGCAAGTTTAAGGAAGCCGATTAAAGACTGCGCTACTAGGTGGACCTCAACATATAACATGTTGGTTCGATTAATAAGTCTTCGAACATTTTGTGAAGATACCCCGGAAATATTAATGTTAGTATCAAATATTTTTTGGCGCGAAGTCGAGGATTCAATCAAATGTTTTGAACCAGCAAATGAAGCCACTTTGAGACTTCAAAAAGAACAACTATGGGTGATTTTTATATCACGTGGCTTAATTTCAAAAATAAAGTCGCCATAATAGACCACAGTTTTGCAGTTGCTCTGCATACTGCTATGACGAAACGAGAAACAAACTTAATGATAAATGACGTGGTTTTAGAGGCTTTGTATTTGGATAGACGCCTGAATGTTATATTGTCTCCAGAACAGTGCCAAAAGGCAAGGACACTTTTGAAACAGGTGTATATGCAAATCAACAGTCTAAAAGAAAGGGACTCATTGTCTTCCAATCCTGAATTGGTTGATACTGAATTGGATACAGTCAATCCGATGCCTAGCACTAGTAGCACTAACTATCCTGCTATTGAAGCTATGCTTCAAAGTAAACAAAGAATGCGAGGAAATGTAGTGAAAAGTAGGTCCATTGATTTGTGTTTACACGACCTTTGCCTCAATGCACGGATTAATTTAGAGGATGACATACTAAGGCACTGGCAAAATATGGCCACTACCTCGTCAGAAGTAGCAGGTATAGCCAACACTGTTCTAGGTGCACCAGCAACTCAAGTGTCAGTAGAAAGACTTTTTTCCTCTTTGAAATTTGTGCTTCATCCATTAAGAAGCAACATTAGTCCACTTTTTTAAGAGATTTGATGCTTGTAAGAGAAAACAAAGTTGATTTGTTTAGTATTGTGTTGCAAAAATAATAAAGTTTGGTAAAAAAAATGTTAACTAAGAGATAAATAGATAGAGATACGAGTATAAATCTAAGTATTTTATAAAAGGCTGATATTATAATGATTTAATAACATAAGCATTATTTAGCATTATAAAAACTTTTAATGCGACTGTGATTACAAAGTATTTCAAGACTGTTATTGATTTGCAGAGTTTGTAAAGTTAATTATTCAGGTTGTCCCACTGCGTATATTTTTTACTTTAATATATTTTTTAAATGATGCTGTTTCATAAAATAGTATGATTCGTTATTATACAAATTGATGCTGTGATTAGTATAGTCCATTTCAATAGATTATCAATGTTGTAAACAAACCAATTTATTATTGACATTGAGACAAGCATATTTCAATGTCAGTAATAACAAGTTTGTTTACAAGATTGCTAGGTATATATTGAAATAGGTGTGTTTAGTAAGTATAGATTACCTATTTTTTAGACTGTTGTTGTGATATTATATTCCAAGTTTGAAACATTGATTATTTAGTATTTAATTGTGTTGCAATTAAAACAAAGTTTGTATTAATATTATTTCTTTATTCAACATAAGGCTGATTATTCAATAACACTCGTTCTGTGATCAAAATAATTTACATAAGTCGTTTTGATTAATAAATCTTCAAATAAAATCTGTACTTGTTTCATTTTCTCTCATATTTTTCCATTACCATTTTAATGTCATGAAAGCAGTTTCTCAAAAATTCATCAGGAACATTTTCTAAATTCTTTCTTATAGTTACGGCGATTAAGTTTCTTTCACAATTGCAGCGACTCATTACATTTTCTTCATTAAGGTTTTGTGTAGTGTTGTCTACTAAAGCTGATCTTTCTGAGGTCATCTCTTCTATTTTAGAAATAGATGTATTTGTAAGACAAATCATCTTATTTGTGTCCGAAATTTTCGATCCAGTGTCAGGTTTTTTTCCTGTAAAAATAATTTGAATTACCACCTAAAAAAAATAAAAATAAAAAAATGTTTATTAGATACAATTTATTTTAATATGAATCACATATTCTTATGATAATGAATAATATTTTCCTAATAAGTATTGAAACTTCCATATATTTAGTAACTAATAATTTATGTTAAAAAGACGAAATGATTTCATTTTTTTTTTGTTATTTTTTGCATTTACAATGCTATTCTTTCTGGAAAATAATATATCGAATCCCAGCTGAGCTCCATGGTTGACCGGTTGTTTTTTTTCTGGTATATTATTTTCCAGAAAGACGCAATGAATTGAATGATATTTATGACTTTATCAAGCGTTTATCTACATATTGATTTGATATTAAATTAAATAATGTAATTAAATAACATAATTCCTAGATTATTAACATTAACCCATGATGAATAAAAAAATAATGTTTTTTCAACAATAATTTAGCATTCACAGTTTGGTTGATAAGATGATAAAGCAATATTACATAATAAAAAATGATATTTTATATGAGAATTGACATATATTTTTGTTTCATTTAAAGTAGCTTTCTAAACCTGTCAAGTGACACAGAAAATTAATCAGCAATAGGTAGATATTGTACTTACGTTTAAGAAAAGCTTGCTTAATACATGTTTTAAGTTCTGTCTCATCATCATCTCTGGATTGGATCGATTCCATAGTAAGACACCAAAATAGTATTCAGTCACAAAAAAACGGTTTCACAATAAATTCTCGGAAAAGAAGGACAACGTCTTTTCGTAGTGCGAACTAAACTTCAATAAGATCATCTAGAACTCAAGTTCTCTAGAAGTATCTCGAATGCGTAGAAAAGAGATGGGCAATTGGTAAGTGGTTAAACCTTATTCAAAAGGTTACTAAACCAATAAGCTAACCAAATCAATAGGGTAACCCTATCGTCTGGGTTACATTTTAATAGGCTTACCTTTTAAATAGGGTAACTCTGAAAAAGGGGTTTTCCGGTCCCTGCTTCTCACACCCCCGATATTTTTAAAAGAACTATCCAACGATGTTCCACACTATGGGGTACATTAAAGATATTTTTTTCGTAATTTTACTTTACCTCTTTGTCGGCGTAATTAACGTGTATTCATGCCAAAGTTTTTGAGCTAAACCGGACAGACGGACATGGCGAAACTATAAGGGTTCCTTGTTTACTACGAAACCCTAAAAACTAACAAAATTTTAAAGTAACTTTGTGATATTGTTCGGAACCCTAAATTAATAGCGTTTGAAAAAAATTGGAAAGTACATATCTTAGTCGTATTGATAACTACTTATATATACTTTTGAATAAAATAGTATTAAATTAATAAATCTTAGCTGTAACTATAGCTAACTAAGAAGCAATAGGAAAGAACTATAGTGATAAATTTGTATGATATTACAACAAAATGCTATGCAATGCGTGTAAGCGTATGCTCGTGAGCATACATCCCAAGAACACGAACAACGCAGACCCAAAGTAGCTCAGTATAAGTAAAAACTCACCTCATTTGCATAAAAAATCGTTTCAATAAGCAAACGGTCCCTATTCACATACTGATGTGAGAGATATTGCAACATTACTTATATGCCTAATCAATTGCGCCTTCATTATACGAATCTTAAAAAGGAAAAATCTACTTTTAATATGGAAATAATAATGAGAATAGGTTTTTCAGTTTTTCTATACTTATGAGCAAATAGGAGAACGTCTAAATCATCTTGACTATAGAGTTTTTTACCTAAATGCTTATACACATTATTTTTTTCAATCGCACTCGTATGCAGCAATTGAAGGTTCTATGAATGTTTCTTAAATGCTACATCGTAAAAGTACGACTTTACGATTTTAAGCGTAGTTAATTTTGCGAAGTTTGTTTTTAATGATGAATATTGATGATATAAAAAGCTGCCAATTCAAAAGATTTAATGTATTTATAAATACAAATGTTCCTACATTTAAAACTTTGGTAAGCTCATACTCAAAACACTACAATTTAACCTAATGTCTGCGCGTTAGTGAAATTGAACTCGTTTATGTGATCACAATGTAATTTATGTAAAGCAATTTAAATATTTAAACGGTCAAAAACATCCGGTATTCATAATTAGAAGTGAAAGAATCGAATAAGTTATGCTAATATCTGAAACGAGTTAAATAATAAGTACGTGTAATGCGGATATCTTAAAATATATACCTAGTGTTCGTCTGCAACTTGCGAAGAGTTGCTTCTATGAAATAATGAAATTTGTATTCAAAAGTGGTTATTTCAGTCTTGTTAGACAGAGTGGCGCGCAAAAAGTTTAGAATTCTTACCGCGCGTTGTGGGTATGCAATGCAATGAATGTCATGCACACAAGCACGCCAAAGAGTTTAGGTCATTGTAAAAACGCTAATAGATCCTTCTAATTGTAGGTAAGTACCTAATAAGACGGAGAATTTTAATAACATTTCAGATTCTTACTAAAGTTCTCGAATTCAGACTTGAAATAGAGACAGAGATTACGTTTACTATGCTAACTGTAATAAATTAGAATTTTTATAAGATTCTTATTTTATTATAATAAAAATGAGGAAAAATGTTGTTTAAGAGTGTGCCTGTAGTCCAACAATGAGGATTGAACTGCGTTATTATGATTCGACATCGCTTCAGCTACCAGCTAGTGGCAAATGTCATTAAAAAAAAAAACTTACCCTTTTTTACGAAAACTGTAATAATAGTAAACATTAGCTCCAATATGAAAGAAAAACTTACGTGTTTGATAAGTACTTTTTGTACCAGCTGAGAATTATCTGTGGTAAAATTAAAGTTTAGAGAAAGTACAAAACGCTAATCTAAACAAATTTTGTTTGTCTGTTTACATCGAATACGCGCCGAAACTACTGAACGAATTTTAAAAATTATTTTGGTGACATAGGCTGTATTTAACACAGGTGAAGTCGTGAGAAAAGACTACTTAACAAACAAAATTAAATAAACTTTGCTCACGTAATATCTTACACAATACCCATTATGCATTCACTAACTTTTGCGTACTGAATGTCGGAACAAAGAGGTAGTAATTCTCATTTCAAACTTTATGATCAAACTTCGACAGACCACTAGTACTATTAATTATGGCATTTTAGAGATCCACTATTACTTTAAAGTGAAAAAGGCGTAAGTGATTTTTCAGTACAGTGAAAAATTACTTTGGAAACTTACTACTAAATTAAGGTGTGTTCAAAATTGACTCTTCCCACCAACATTTCGAAATTTCCCCTAATATATTCTTGCCTTTATCGATTGACGTCGAGTCATGATAACTATTCGGATCTTGTACTAAATACGCCATTGTTTAGCCAAACATGTTCACTAATGCACCAATTAAGTGCACTCTCCGCGACGAATGTGGTTTTTGTGCACTTTCCTTTGTGGGAGCCGAACGACGACGACGATGCCAACTTACTCCTAATTCAAGTAGTAGCTTCTCTTTTGATACATTTTTGGCGACCAAAATTCCAGTACGTGCTTTGAATCCCAACAATGCAACATAATGAGATATTTAAAACTACTCAGTTAAAAGTTTTTAATATATTGTTTTTTAATCAGATTTTTCAATTAGCAGTTAATTCACTCGAAATCACAATTATAACATTGTTTATCGATTACTTGATAGTTATTATAACAATTAATTAGGAAATACGTAGAAATTGTAACTTATATTCAGTCAATTTTAGTATATTTTGTATTAAATTAATTATATATATGTAAATATATATTATTTGGGCGAATATTTCATTTCATACAAATTGAGTGTCGTTGAAAAACTTTCAATTGAATCCGTTTTAAATGTGGAATCTGAAATCGTCAATTCGCAAAAAGTAGTTTTTTTTATTAGAAATTTTTGTATTAAATTTCAAAATAAAAGCCGTAAATCTCATTACCAGTCGCATCTTTATTCCCAGATTTGAAGACG